AACCATAGTTAATTTTGAAATAATTGAGTTAGGTTCGAGTGAGATTTTGAGTTTGTATTAAAGTAGTATGTAAAATATAATGATTAAAGTTGATTTGATGTAAAAGTATGAGAGAGGTGATTGAAAGTGATGGGTAGTTAAAATTATACTAGTGGATGAATAGTGAACTAAAGTCGATGTGATGTGTGAGGATGCTTGATTAATATTATTTAATTATATTGATAATATTGAGGAGTGTTGGGTTGAATTAATTTGAGTTAGATTTTGAGTAAAAAATTATATAACCAGATAATTTATAACCAATCAGGATCCTAAGCTTTCTGCATCATGACTGAGTTCATTGTTTTGTGAGAAGTGTGCCTTTTGTTTCCTGTGAAACAAAGTATAATTACGCCTTAAGGAACTAGTTTTCATGACTTTGTGACCTCTTGGTTCATACAATGCGTTGTAATGCTTATGGTTCCTTTTCCTAATGTATATTTCTCTTACAAAATTTTATTAGGCATCCCGTGATGTGGATACTCGCTTTGGAGTTAAAAAAGAAGAGAACGTGTCATCTACCAAAGCATGGCTTGAGAAGATGAAAACTTTATTTATTCGAAAGGGATCGGGATTTTCTTCCCGCAGTGTGATAACGGGCGATCCGTTTAAAGGGGTGTCTGAGATTGGATTGCCATTTGAAATCGCACAAAAGATTACATTTGAAGAGCGAGTAAATCAACAAAATATGGAGTTTTTACAGAAGCTGGTGGACAAAAATATGTGTCTGGCATACAGGGATGGAATGTCAACGTATTCACTAAGGGAAGGGTCGAAGGGACATACATTTCTGAGACCGGGGCAAGTTGTGCATCGTAGAATAATGGATGGGGATATAGTGTTTATCAATAGACCACCAACTACCCACAAACATTCCCTACAGGCGCTCTCAGTTTATGTTCATGAGGACCACACGGTCAAGATCAATCCATTAATTTGTGGTCCTCTCAGCGCGGACTTCGACGGGGACTGTATCCATCTGTTCTATCCGCAGTCTCTGGAAGCTAAAGCAGAGGTTGTGGAGCTTTTCTCTGTGGAAAAACAGCTACTGAGCTCTCACACTGGGAACTTCATTTTGCAGTTGGGAGTGGACTCACTTCTGTCACTTAAAGTCCTTTTCAGAAAGTGTTTCTTGAACCGAGTTGCTGCCCAGCAGTTGGCCATGTTTGTCCCCAGTGTCCTATCCAAACCTGCTGTGGTAAAGTCTGGCAGTGGCCCTCTTTGGACTGCATCACAAATTTTGCAGATGACGCTACCTCCTTCTTTCGATTGTTCTGGAGAGAGACACATAATTTCCAATAGTGAGGTGTTAACCCTTGATTTTAATCGGGACGTGATGACGTCCATTACCAATGACTTAGTCACCTCACTTTTCTTTTTGAAGGGCCCGAGGGAGGTTCTGAGGTTCTTTGATTCTATACAGCCTTTGTTGATGGAAAGTCTTTACTCGGAAGGCTTCAGTGTCAGTTTGAGAGACTTTTATTTACCCCGAGAAGTTTTGGAGAATATCCAAGAAAATATTCAAAAGATTTCTCCATTGCTGTATCATCTGCGTTCTTGTTATAGTGAGTCAGTTGCTTTGCAGTTGGACAGTTACTTGCGAAGCGTGAAAATTCCGGCTACCAATTTCATAGTCAAATCTTCTAGACTTGGACACCTAATAGATTCCAAAAGTGAATCTGCTCTCAACAAGGTTGTCCAGCAAATTGGGTTCTTAGGGACCCAATTATCACATAAAGGGAAGTTCTATTCCGAGATTTTGGTGAAGGAGATGTCGTTCCTTTTCCAAAAGAAGTATCCATCCTTCGATGATTATCCTGCTGAAGAATTTGGCTTGGTTGGTAGAAACCTCTTCCGAGGGTTGGATCCGTATCAAGAAATGGTGCATTCAATATCAAGCAGAGAAGTAATTGTCCGCTCAAGCCGTGGATTAACTGAGCCCGGGACATTATTCAAAAATTTGATGGCCATCCTTAGAGATGTTGTCATATGCTATGATGGTACTGTGAGAAACACATGCAGCAATTCCATCATTCAATTTGAATATGGAGTCAACAGTGCAAACATTGCCAGCGAGTTTTGTGCGGGTGATCCTGTTGGAGTTTTAGCTGCAACTGCCATGTCTAATCCTGCATACAAAGCTGTTTTGGACTCGTCTGCCAGTAGCAATTCATCCTGGGAGATGATGAAGGTAGTTAACATTTGTGTAGATATAACCTGTCTTTTTTTAGTTCAATATAACAAAGTTTTCTCATAAATCCACCGTTTTGAACGCAGGAGATATTGCTTTGTGGGGTCAACTTCAAGAATGATATTTCTGACCGTCGAGTAATGTTGTATCTTAATAATTGTGATTGTGGCAGAAAGCATTGTCAAGAAAGTGCTGCACTTATAGTCAAGAATCATTTGAAGAAAGTCAGTCTAAAGGATACGGCGATTGAGCTCCTGATAGAGTAAAATCTCTCCTTGATTGCATTTATATACCTCCATTAATGGTGTAAATTGGCACATTCCAAAACATTTCATTATTTCATCCAGTCTGTGCGTCACGATTAACTAGAATTTTCCTGGAGGCTAAGTGTTATGGCATGAAATGTAACAACTTTACACGTCGTGCTAATGATTCCTATCCTGGCAGTGAAAACTATAACTAGGTTCTGTTTTCTAATTTCTGGCTACTCTCAAGAAAATGCAGAGTGTTCATATTTGGTAAAAACTAAAGAGAATGGATCTGAAAAAAGTTAATTGTCTTTCACCTCTTTTAAGTATCCAAGTTACTTGGTTGACTCGGGGAGTGAAGGTTCATCTTTTTACACTTTTGGATTGAGTTTCTGAACCATTAGCTGGTTGTGTATAATTTGGTTTATTAGTGTCCAGCACCTTAATTATGAGATTGATTCTTCAGCATTTAGATTACCTTTTAATTTTATCACAATTTTTGCACTACTAGCTTTATATTATTTTACTTAATGGATATTTTTTCGCTTAATTGATCATATAAATGATAGCGCCAAACAACAAAAATTGCGCAGTGGGGAAAGCCAGAAAGTTACTAAAATATTTGAATTCACTATATTCACTTTCATTTTACAGATATAGATCTGAAATGATGCACGAGATTCCTGAGGTCAATCCTGGCCCTGTTGGCCACATACATCTGAACAAGGTTATGATTTTTCATTTATTTTTTCCTTTTTTAAATAAAGCTGAATAGATTTATTAATTTTCTAGTGTTTTGTCAGAACTTTGTGGATCATGTTTTTCGATCATTTGACTGGTTTATTGAACAGACACAGCTGGTACAATCAAATTTGGGCATGCATGAAATATTTGAAAAATGTGAAGACACAATCAGTTTACACCAAAAGAAGAAAAAAGTTGGGGCATTGTTCCAGAATATGGATCTATCTTTCAGGTAGGTTTGGTTGTTACAACTTACATATAAGTTTTGTTTTTAATAGCCTTTCTTCTTGGTTATGTCATTGTTTATTTCATGTATTGCAATTTGACTTTCCAACCATTAAAAAGAAACCTTCTAGAAACTTTGGCACGACCATTAGCACCAAGAATGGAGCTTATTCTTTCAGCATGATTTGAGAAAGATCATAGCTTTTTCATGATCTTCTGTCTTTTCAAATATCTGCTAGCTCATCATCGCTACTATTATTTCTTGTGCCAAGGTTGGAAATGCCATATTGCTCAACGTTTAGATAAGGATGTTGGATCCTCAAGTGCCTTTAAACTGAACTGTAGTCTGTATCCAATTCTTGTCCATATGTTTAGAAGATATTGACTTGAATTTTTAGCATGTATATTGAAATTCAGTTTAAGGTGCAGAGTTGAACAATCAACTTTTTGTTCAGCTATCATTTTTTCCTCTCTTTTTCCCCGTAAGGGTTGGTTAAATTCGTACTACCTTATTCAATTGTCGTTTTCTGTTCACTATGACTTTATTTCTTATAAGATAATCTTTTGTTCAGTGAATGCTGTTCTTTTTGCCAATCATCCAAAAGCAAATGGACTGATGTTCCATGCATCCAGTTTCGCTGGCGCGATGCAAAATATGATGTAGATAAGGCCTCTCAGTTACTTGCTGATGCGGTTAGCCCGGTTCTGTTTGATACAATCATTAAAGGTTGCTTCCCCCTCCTTTCGTTAGTATGTTCTTGTTTGGGAGAACTTTTGAAAAAGTCCATCTAAGAAATGGACTTATTCAAAATGGACTTCATCAAAAGTCTACGTCCTTTACTTCTACAGAATGGACGTTTTGGAGAAACAACTTATCCATAAGTCCATTCTTAATTTAACGCAAAACATGAATATTTATCCAAATGGACTTTTGGATCCAAAAGTTTACTTGAGAAGCGTTTCCCAACAAGCTCTATATTTGTATCTTTTGTGGGGTTCTAAATTGAGCTTGTGTAATGCTTCAATTATCTGTATTAATATTTCTTTCCTTCCCTTTCTTTAATGTTGTGAAAATGAGTAATGAAAGCAACTATACTTGGTCTAAAAGACTTCTTCTAATGATGTATTTATGTGATGCATACATGTGGACATTTGTACAGGTGATCAAAGGATTTCAAGCGCAAATGTTGTTTGGTTATGCTCCGACACTGCGTCCTGGACCCGAAGCCCATCTAAGAGGGAGAAGGGTGAATTGGCTCTTGATGTTATCCTGGAGAAAGATGCTGTGAAAAAGATTGGAGATGCTTGGAGGGTCCTTATGGATTCGTGCCTTCCGATTATGCATTTAATTGATACACGACGTTCGGTACCATGTGCAATAAAGCAAGTACAGGAACTGCTTGGTATTTCTTGTGCATTTGAGCAGGCTGTTCAGGTATCACCCGTCTATCCTGGTATTGCGTAGTAACTGCAATTGGTACTGATTTGAGCTTAGACTTTCCCTCTCCCTGATATGCTCGTGTGTCAATGCCAGCTGTCTTTCTAATTGTAACTTTTTTATGCATTGCGTTGTTAGAACATTTACAAACATACATGGCATTATCATTTATTATACATTTTATGCAATGTAACAGCATAGAAAGACTTAGATCACTCAACACCACTGCATGTCTTGATCCTGTGGTTCTCATGTTTGTAGCTGAACAAAGTAAAATCTGATTTTTTTCATAAAAGGCTATCACTCATCTAAAACCTTCTTTGTGAGTTGTGATGCCACGAGCACATGGATAGTTGTTAAGAAATGAAGCCAGCTAGTTGCAGTGTTAAATTAGAACTTTAGATCATTACATGATGTAACTTTCATTTGGAGTATTGTAGATTTGATATTGATGATTTATTAGGCTTAATGGTAATGTGGCCACCTTCCAGTAATAATTGCATGTTAAATTTGGAATTGCAGTCCAGCAGTCTATAAGCTCACCCTTGTTTCTTCTAGGTTAACTGGATGCACCTAGGGTGTTGTTATATCATTTTCCAATTGATTTTGCATTTACTTTGAGTTGCCAGTCATTAAATACCTTTGTTAAAGCTATTTCTATGTGTTGAATGTGTTTTTGTACTATTTGTGACGTGGATAAATCACATAGTCATTGTAAAGAAATCTATGCAGGCAAGAGGGTACTGGATATAATAAAACCAGGAAATAGAAGCTAAGCGCTAGGAACATGCTGAAAATGTAGTTTAACACATTTATTTCTGACTCCTCACATTGCATGTATTGTTTATGTAGTCTGAAATATAACATTTAAACGTGTCTGCACTTTTAAGTCATGTTTGTCCTAAATCTGTGAAATAGCATTTGTTTGTGTAAAATCCAAAACGTTTGGGTTCAGTTGACCATGCTTCATTGCAATTAATGTTTTTGATGGAATGTTCCTACTTTGATTTTTCTCTTTTTCTATGATCATTTTATGTTCCAATTGTACCGTTATCTGAATCTTGGCATTATTTAATGCCTTGCTGAGTACCCGGTACATAAAATGTTTTTGTATTTCATGTTAATTAATGAATTAAATGACCTTGTAATTTTTCGACTAACATATGTGTTGTTACACAGCGTTTATCTACATCGGTTACGATGGTTACAAAGGGTGTGCTCAAAGATCATCTCCTTCTGTTGGCAAACAGCATGACATGTGCTGGCACTTTCATTGGCTTTAATACTGGTGGAATTAAAACCTTGTCTAGATCACTTGATGTTCAAGTACCATTCATGAACGCAACATTATTTGTAAGTAGTTTTATGGTTGTATTCCATATTAAAATGTATTGTATACAATTTCCTCTTTCAATCAACTATCATAATAATGATTGTTACAATTTTCTTTTCAGACCCCTAGAAAATGCTTTGAGAGAGCTGCTGAGAAACGCCATGTTGATAACTTGTCAAGCATAGTGGCTTCTTGTGCTTGGGGCAAACATGTGACCGTGGGCACTGGATCTCCCTTTGAGATTCTTTGGGACACTAGAAAGGTATATGTGGCAGCAGTATTTTCTTTCCTACATTCCAGAAAAAAACATGCTGCGAGACTCATGTTTTAATTGTTTTCTTAGGCTGAGTTGGGGCCGAACAAGGAAATTGATGCGTACAATTTCCTGCACTTGGTGAACAGCAGATCAAATCCTGAAGATATAGGCACTAGTTGCTTGGGAGAGGAAATTGAAGATCTAGACCAGGACTATATGGAATTTGAGCTGTCCCCAGTGAGAGAAGACGGTCTAGATAAGCCCACTTTTGAAGATGGGTTTGAACTAGGACCCAACGGAGATGATAGAGATGGGTTTTCCAAAGATGTAAGAAATATCTTGACTTTAAAGGTTTTATTACGGTATCTAATTCTCATCCTGGTGAAGTGAATCCATTTGATTAGTATTACCCATATAATATCTCAGTTCACATGTATGTATACTACCATTTCCATCATGGTATATCTGTTTTGCTTTTCCATCTGGAGCTGGTGATGATTGTGTTCAATCTGTGTGTTCTCTGTCATTGCCTCATTGGCTGAGTTTTTGTGCATTGTTTAACCTCAATCTAATCCAAATAATAACGTTAGAATATTGGGGATCTCCCTCATATGTAGGCCTAGTGGCCATTCTCTGTAAATTCACTGAATATCTCCTTTTTTTTTTTAATCAGTGTTTAACAATTGGCTCTTCTCTGTAGGCATCCCAGGATAGTTGGTTATCGTTGACCAAAATGGTCGAGTCTCAAGATGCTTGGGGTAAAAAGCCTGAGCAAAGCTCTATTGCTGAGGAAACTCAAGATGACTCAGTTTGGGGAAGAAAGACGAATTCTGGTGGAGGAAGTTGGGGGAAAAAGACGGAGGAAAGCACTTGGGGCGCAAAGGTAAATCTAGAAAGTGAGTGGACACAAACGGGTGAAAAAAGCACTCAGGATGAAGATACCCAAAATACCTCTTGGGGTAAAAAAGTGGATTCTGAAGGAGATGGCTGGAAGAAAAATCCCGAGCAAAGCACGTGGGGCAGAAAAGCTGATTCCAGTGTGAGTGATTGGACCACCACGGATAAGCAGTCCAAAAATGGCGTAGCCTTGGCTAAAAGGGCTGATTTTGATGGACGAGGTTTGACTAAGAATGATGAACAGAACAAGTGGGCTGGAGCAAGTTCAATAGAGCCTCGTAGTCAGTCCAGCTGGGGTTCGTCTTCTGCTGCTGGAAAAGATTGGGGTCAGAAAGATGTCCAAGGAACACTGGCTAATGCTGGTGATACTGTTAGTGGGGGTTGGGGGAAAACAGAGGAAAGTACATGGGGCCAGAAGTCGAACTCCAAGGAAAATGATTGGACCAAAAAGGCCGACTCTGCTGGAGGAGATTGGGCTAAGAAAGAAGTCAAAAACATGTCTCAAAGTCAATCCAGCTGGGGCGTGACTTCCGGTGGGAAAGAGTGGGGTCAGAAGGAAAGAAAAATGTCTGAGGCTGATGAACTTGGTGCAGGTGCTGGTTGGAAAAAATCGAATGAACAGAATAGTTGGGGCAACGTGAGTACACCCAGGGCTGATCGTAATTCCACTTGGGGCAAAGATGATGCAAAAATAGATAAAACTTTATCTGCTGGATCTCAAGATGGCGGTGGCTCATGGTCATTACCTCCTGTAGTTGAGAAAGAGACACCTCAGGATGATTCATCCAAGGATGCCTCTGGTTGGCAATCCCGTGTGGAATCTCCTAAGGGAATTCAGTGGGGAGCTAAACCGGCTGATAACACTCCCGATTCAAAACCTTCTGGTAACTGGGGCTCTTCGAATGATTGGGCTAAGTATGAAAAACAGTCTCCGAGAGGGGATACGAAAGAGGCTCCTAGCAATGCTTGGGGTTCGAGCCCGCAACCAAATGACTCAACAGCTGGCCACGGCTGGAGTTCGTTTAAAGCTGATGCTGATGGAGACAAAGATGCGCGGCCTCAGTGGGGAAGGGGCCGAGGTCGGGGTAGGGGTCGTGGGTGGGGCCGAGGGGGACGGTTTGGAGATGGTTCGCAAGGTAGGGGGGGCCCATCTAATAATAATAATGATGGAGAATGGAAGAACAGGAGGCCTCGCCCTACTGACGATCCTAATGTGCTGGCGACTTTAACTATGACGGGGAAGCGGCTAGATTCGTTCACAGCTGAGGAACAAGATGTTCTTTCGGAGATAGAATCAGTTATGAAGAACATCAGAAGAGTGATGCACCAGACAGGGTAATATTCTTTCATCAATTTTAAATGTGAAAATTGGAATTTTATTGGAAGTGCTGTAAAGTATGAAGTACTCATTCTCCTTTTGACCCTCGCATCTAGACCATCTGAAGAAGATCAAATCATTCTTTAGGAACGTGTTGTGGCTGATTAGCAAGTGAAAGTTAATCATTAGGGAATTAGAAAATATTTTTCATCTGTTTATACTATTATGTAGATATTGGCAATATTGCACAAAATGTATCCTAAATTGCGTAATGGTAAAGCTGCTCGACATCTTGATTCTGATGTCAAAAGAAAATCGATTATGAATCTGCATATCTAAAATGTTATATCCTATTACTGTCAGATCCCAGAAGAACTCCAATTCCCGTTCTAAATTTTACCAACCGCACATACATTAATCTCTGTTTTCTGCAGTGATACTCGCAATACTCTATACATGAAATCAAAATTCTTTTTTGCCAACCTTTCCTAAAAACTACCCCCAATCACCAAAAAGATGCATCCTTTTTTTTTTGTCTTCCTATGTAAAAAAGTACGGAGGAAAGTGAAATGCAGGGACGTTTCTGGTTGATTAGATTGTTTACTTAAAGCGTGGTTTACTAATTGTCAAACAAAGCATGTGGCCTGATAAATTTACTTTTGCATGCAGGTATAATGATGGCGATCCTATATCTGCAGATGATCAGAAATACATAATTGATAACGTACTCAATTATCATCCTGACAAAGCTGTAAAGATGGGAGCTGGAGTAGATCATATCATGGTATGGCTTATTAACTTACATTTGGAAACTGCTGCCCCTATCGTGTATATTTGGTGGCTTTTTTTCGCAGAGCCTGTGTAAATTGAACTCTCGATTGTTCCTGCCATATGTCTATACTCGTTTGGCACTTGTCACATATTTTATTAGGTTGTCATGAACACACACACACACACACACACACACACACACAGAGTCACATCTTTAATTAGGTTGTTATGCACACGCAATTTATTTTTGATAGATTTTTGTATCAGAAGAGTGAATTTTTTTATTCAGCAGTCCAAATAACTAAACATTGAACACAAGTTTTTCAATCATATTTTCCATCAACTTGTTTGTTTTACTAGTAGGTATATAATGGTAATATTATTTTCCACATTAATTTCAAATGAAGATGTTTCTGCTCTTTGTATATAATTTTGTCCAACATTTTTCATTTTTTTTCCCTTTATTTAAACTTCAAACGTTCCTTAGATTTGGTCAACTCAGGCGTTTCATGCTTTTCTGTTTTTCAATTTTGATGGTTTTTTCTAAGCTAATTTTTTGGTTCTCACGTCACAGGTTAGTCGGCATGGAGAGTTCCAGGACAGCAGGTGTTTCTATGCCGTTTCTGTTGATGGTGGCAAAGAAGACTTCTCCTATCGCAAATGCCTGGAGAGCTTCATCAGAGAGAAGTATCCTGACAAGGCAGAAACTTTTATTCCTAAATACTTCAGGAAACAACCACGTGCCGAGGGGAACCGGGATCGTGGGCCACCTCTTAGCTGGAACAGAGATAACACTCCTGCTCCAGATGAAGTTGGAACTCCGGGCTGGGCTGGAAGCCCCAAAAAAGCTGGAAATGCCTCAGGCTGGGGTGGAACCCCAGGAGGGGCCGGGAATTCGGGCTGGGGTGGAAGCCCAAAAGGAGCTGGAAATGCCTCAGGCTGGGGTGGAACCACAGGAGGGGCCGGGAATTCGGGCTGGGGTGGAACCCCTGGAGGTGATGGAGATTCTGGTTGGGCTGCTGGAACCCCTGGAGGGACTGGAAACTCGGGCTGGGACAAGGATCAACCGACTCCTAACCCAGATGCTGCTGCTACCGGTGGTTGGAATTAAGCAAAAACATAAATTATGTCTGACAACTGATATCTATGTTTTTGAATTTGGTCTAGAAAAGTGAAACAGAACCAAACTGATTTTCCATTTAATGCTGCTGATTATTATGTAGATTCTGTTACTGAGTTTTGATGTACAGTAGCTTTAAGCGTTGTGCATGAATGGCGGGCAGTACGAATTTCTATTCTATTGTTGGTGCCATCATGTTGGTTTTCTTTCTGAAGCTCGTGTACATATTCCTTAAGCTAGTAACAGAGGTTAAATCATGTGGATTAGCGATCTTCAGATGCGTAGACGATGACAGAAAATTTCATGTGACTGCATCATAGACAGACCCCTTGTTTTATCGTATTTAATGCATCTGATCTATGAATGTTTCACTAGTGTTTTTCCTTGGTTAGGTGCTGTTGACTTGAATGGATTTTCAATTTTTCATTGACAGGCCTTTTATATTACTAGTGGCATACACGCGGTGGTGAATGTTTTGGACCGATTAAGTTTAGTAAGATAAATTAATTTATTAATCAATTGTAGGAAAGAAATAAAATGTAAAACAAATAAGCTTTTTTTAATGTATTTTTTTAAATAATATCATGAGGTTCGAATATAAAAGGAATTAAACAAATAGGGTATTTAACTGGTTAGAATTCTCTTACCATGAGAGCTTCATTTCTCTTTTGAAATTGTGATTCCTTCAATTGGAGGAAGAATTCTCATTGAGGTGAGGCTTTACTATCCTTTTTTTCATTGCCTGACTTATATATACACGTGCGATGCACGTGGTGGTGAATGTTTATAGCCGATCAAACTTAGTAAGATGAACTAATTAATTTATTAACCATAACATTGCTGGAAAGAAATAAAATGCAAAACAAATAAGTTCCTAATGTATCTTTTAATAACCTAATGATGTTCTAATATAAAAGAAATGGAACAAATAAGGTATTTAACTGGTTAGAATTCTCCCGCCATGAGAGCTTCATCTTCAGTTGCAGGTATAATGCTCATCTCTATGAGGCTTTACTTCTTTTTTTTTTTTATATAT